GGAAACGGCCAAACGGGGGCATGGCCGACGCTCGCGATGCGCCCGTCCGTTGCGGCCAGGCTCAAACTGTGCGCGCAAGCCACAGGAGAGGCGGTGGCGCCGCAAGACGAGGCGATGATTCGCATCCTCTCGCGGCTCGCCGTGGAGAACAACTGGTGGAGCTTCAGCGTCAACCCGACGCCCACGGGCAAGCAGTTCATTGTCCAGCCCCAGTCCCAGTGGGAGAGGGACAGGGAGCGGCAGCAGGCCAAGGAGGGCAGTGCCCCACCGCAGCCTGTGCCTGCTGCCACTTCCGCCGCGGCACCGCCCGCAGCACCGCCTGCCGCCGCTGCAGCTCCGGCAGCAGCACCGCAGGCACACCCGCAGCACCAACAGGTGCAGCAACCCCAGCCCAACGAGTCGCCCGAGGGGTGGACCAGGGTTGGGAAGGGCGGCATGCCGGACAGGTTCACCATGAGGAACCATGGCCGCAAGCCGCCGGGCAAGGCGGTCAAGCGCAAGCCTGACCGCCAGCCCGCACCCAAGGGAGGTGGACCCCCACCCCCCTCTCCCAAGGTGAACAAGAACAGGCTGAGCGCGCTGGGCGCTGGCCCTTCTGGCACCAGCGGGAGCCACGAGCGCGCACCGCCGCGCTCCCCCTCCCCCTCCTCGCCGCCTGCCAAATCACCGCGGCCATCTGCGCCTGCTTCCGAGTATGACTCCGAGCTCGACCAATACTTTTCCGACGCCGAGGCGCGGGATAGGGTGGCAGGGGTTGTACACGACGCAGTGCAGCAGGCTGTGATGCAATACGGCTATGACGACGAGCTCTTCCAGGATTGGAGGGACGGCAAGATAGGCGAAAAGGACTTGCCGGAGGAGGTGATGGCTATGACTTTGGACCTTTGCGAGAGGTGGCGAGCGGAGCAAGAGCGGTGTAGGCGCGTCCACGCGGCGCAGCGGCTCTCCCGCGACCCCGGCCCCTCTCGTAGCCGCAGCCGTAGCCGCAGCCCCAACTCTTGCCGCTCTTCCGTGTCGGGTTGTGACGAGGGGTGAGGGGACACGGATTGAAGATCCCTCACACCAAGATCGTGCAGGGCGGGGACACACGTCCCTAAATCCCATCTCGTCTCAGAGTTTGACCGTTTTCTTTATTTATTTATTTACTGTGTTGGACGTTGTCGGTTGGTGTGAGGAGGTCCGGTCCCACCTCACTCCTCCGGGTGTTGCGCCTCCCTCGCCTGCAGCCAAGCGTCGAGACAGGCGAACTGGTTCCAGAAGCACGCCTCGGTCGGCATGCCCCCGCGCTCCGCCTGCGCGCTCACCTGCTTGGCCTCGAAGCGCACGCCGGAGTACTCCTCGTACCACTCGCGGCTGCGCACGTCGCCGACGCCCCAGATCGGGTCACCGGGGCCCTGCACCCCCGCGAGGGCGGCGGCGGCCTCCGCGGCCGCCTCTCCACCCGCGGCCGCCTCTCCGCCCGCGGCGCCCTCGCCGGCCGTCGGGCGCTCCTCCGCGCCGCCGTGGAGCGGCAAGCCGGTGAGCAACCGTCGCACCCTCGCCTGGCTCTCGCGCTTGAGGGCGGCGCCCCCCTCGACCTCCCAAAAGGTGCCCTTGCGCTGCCCTCGCGCCCACTTGTGGTAGACGAGGTGCGCCTACAGGAGCGGCTCCGAGAGCCCTCAAGGAAGGGACTGGGAGAGGCCCGTGCGGCAGACGAGCTGCGCGTCGGGCGCGAAGAGGTCCCAGCCGCGGCTCCACATGCGGAGGGCGAGTGACACCTGCGAATCCGCCAAACCAAGCGACCAGCTCACGACACTTCGTTGGTTGGCTTCGCGGCTCCGCGTGCGGCGGGCGACACCTCCTCGCCGAAGAAGAGGAAGGGCAGGTGCGGGTCGTATGGCACCTGGCAGAGAGGTGGAGGGGTGGAGAGGTGAAGGGGTGGAGAGGTGGAGAGGTGGAGAGAGTGGAGAGGTGGAGAGGTGGAGAGGTGGAGAGGTGGAGAGGTGGAGAGGTAGAGGGAGAGAGTGGTGGGGCATCGCAAGAAGAGGGGCGGCGGTGTGCTGGCCGGGCGGCGTGTGTGCTGGCCGGGCGGCACGCCTCGCGCACGAGGGAGGAGGCGGAGAAGGAGAAGCCCGCCGCCCAGAAGGCCGTGGGGAGCGGGCTGCACGGCTGCCGCTCGAGGAGCCGCGCCCGGAAGCGCAGCATCCCGTCGGCGCCGAAGGCGTCGTCTCTGGCGGCGCGCGTGCAGAGGAGGGTGGCGCGCCGCTCCTGCGAGAGGGTGGCTCCCTGCGCGTCCCCGTCGTACGGCAGCGGGTACGTGGTCAGGACGGGCTTCGGAGAGGCGCAGCGTTTGAGCATGGCGAGCAGCTCTGCGTCCCACCCCGGGGCGAACCTGCCGCGGAGGAGGAGGAGCCTCGGGCGCGTGTGTGCGGGAGGGCGAGCCGGGGTTTGCAAGAGCTCGGTGCGGGCCGCGCGGGCCTGCTGTGCGAGTCGACTTGGAGGTAGTAGTCCTCGTCGCGGAGCAGCCGCCGCTGGATGAGGAAGCGGGCCCAGACCGGGCCCTTGGCCTCCCTCCAAGGCAGCCGCAGCACGCGCACGTTCGCCGCCCACTCGGGCCGCAGCAGGCTCAGGTCGAGGCAGTCCGCGTCCTGCGAGGCGCGCGCGGCAGGCGGTGGGGGAGGGCGGCGGCGGTGGGGAGGGCGGTGGGAAGGTCGTGCGCGTCTAGAGAGAGCAAGGTGCGGCGAGAGGGCGACGGGCGGGCTGCGGCCTCATGCTACAGAGGAGAGGGCGAGCACTGCGACTGGAGAGGGTGCGGGTCTGTGCGCCTCGTCCCCGTCGAGCGCGCACTGGAAGCAGACGCCGACGAGCACGCGCGAGGGGCTCTCCGCTTGGGCGAAGAGCGATCGGATGGTGTGCGGCGCCTCGGGGTCGCGGTAGCTCGCCACAGACACAAAGATGGAGGGCAGCGAGGCGGCGGGCGGAGAGGCGGAGGGCGGCGAGGTTTGTTGCGACGCTGCGGCGGGTGGCGGGCCC